CATTCCTGCACAGCAGTGAGCCCACAGCTGCTGAGGGACAGTGCCCAGCCCAGCCCTACCTTCCTGTGGAGCAGCTGTAGGTGCAGCACTACAGATGGGAGCGCTACTATTAAGGAATCAATTGCACAATGAAAGCGCTGAGGACGCTTGTCTTACAGAGAATTCCTGCCAAGCGCTGCCAGCCTCAGCTCTCCGTCTCTCTGGGCCTCCAGCCAGACTCTAATCATTTCGGGTCCCTTCTCAATTTCAGCTGTGTGACACAAAGGGGCAGCATGGGCCGGCCGCTGCTGGAGGATACTTTTATTGACTATGTGAAAAAAGGAACTGCTGCCACCCTAATGCAGACAGAGACATTATGATCTCCTGAGAAGGGAAAGAACTCCCCCTGTGCCCCCACAGGGCTGCCTGCCAGCATTCCTGTAGCAAAGGGACTCGCCTGCACTGTCAAAGCACTGCACTGCCCAGGCTGGGCCAGGCAAAGGGCACTGCTCCCACCTGAGCTTTTGGTTATTTCAGGTTTTTAACGAAGAAAAACATTCCAGAAGCACTGCTACACAACAGTGCCCCAATGCTGAGTCTCACACAGCATCGTGCCTGAGAAGGGCAGCACCGTGCAGTTGTGGCAGTTATCCTCCAGCTCAGAAACAAAGTAGTCATTTCTTCTAATGGCTACAGAGAGCACCTGGATAACCTTTGGCCTCAGCTGTACACATCAATCACTGCCTGGATCAGAATCCTCAGCCCTCCACTGAAGCATAACAGCACCTTTAGATACACATGGATCACAGCATTCCCCCCCCCCCATTTCCTACCTGTGTCCCAACAGAGCAAGCAGCCACTGCAGGAGTACTGAACATAATTAAGGTGTGTTATAACAGCCAAGAGCAGCACATCACAGCCTTGAAAACCTTTCTGCTCAGCCAGCTCCAACCAGCTGTACTCAAAGAGCTTTTAATCAGCATGTTCCCCACACGCAGCATCTAAAGGAAGGAGCCAAATGCCCCGTGCTCCTACCGACCAAAGAAACCCACTCTTTGTGTATCTGAGGCTCTGCTGAATCCAACACCGCTTGGAAGAACTGGCAGATCTCGCTCTGCGTGCAGCGATGCCCCCCTCCCCCCACCTATGGGATATCTGCTCTGCAACGTCCACGTTTTGCTCCGAGGCAGGCTGTATTTATTAACACTCAGATCCGTCACAAAACCGCCCTGCAGTCTTCCAGGACAGGCAACCAGAGAACAGCCGAAGGAAGCTCCGAGCACAAACGCACCCAATCTGCGCTGTCGTAGGGCGAAGTCGATACAAAGTGCTCCAGGCGGCTCCGTCCGCTCAGGACAGACCCTGCAGGAACCCACGTGCAGGGCCTGGAGCAGGGCTGTGCACAGACACGGTGCAGCTGGCACACACAGCCCGCACGCCCGCCTGCACCCAGGACGTCCCTACGAGCACCGCGTGCATCCCCGAGCCGCAGCCCCGCACCGCACGGGATGGGGCTGCGCCGTTAACCCCGATTCCCCCGCAATCCCACCGCCCGACCCACAGGGCCGCAACCATCGGCTCGCCGTCCCTAACCCGTGCGGCCCCGCCGCTCTCGCCCCGCGCTGCCGGCCCGGTGGAGGCCCGGTGCCGCCGCTCCTACCTGCGGGCCGGGCCCTGGCTGCCGGCGGAACCCCAGCGCCGGGGAGGCGGGGGCGCACGGAGCGGGGAGCGCCGCGCCCCGCCTTGTCCCCGCGCGGCCAATGGGAGCTCCGCCCTTTTCGCTCTCTTCGCTCCTATTGGCCGCGCAGGGGTAAGGTGGGGCGCGGCGAGAGCTCTGACCAATGAGAGAGCGAGGCCTGGCGGAACCCCAGAGCCGGGGATGGGGTGGCGCGGCCCCGCCCGCACTTCCCGCGAGAGCACAGCGAAGGGGCGGGACTTGTAGCCGACCAATGGGGGAGCGGGCGGGCTGAGGGCGCGGCCTATTGGCTGCGCGGCACCACGCCCTCTGGTACGTGCACGTGGCGGCGCGGGCGCGGGAGGACGCGGGGCGCGGCTTTAACCCCTGCGGCGCCGGGAAGATCAGGCGTGTAAACAGGCTTTTTTTCCCCCCATAATTAAACTAATTGCATTTTTTTTTTTTTAAATCCAGAAAAAAAAGTTTGTCAGGAACAGGACATTCATTTTGCAGCTGTGGAACTGGCGCTTTGTTTGTATTTTGTTGTGATGCAGGAATCCCCCTCTTTTCCAGGGCTCCGTCCCTTACATGCACTCCTTTTCAGACCTGCCCATGTCTGCAATCCTGCAATCTTGACCTTTTGCCAATTTTACCGTACCTTTCTCTTGCTATAAGAGCACTTATTGCATGAACTGAACATCACCTGTTCCTATTCAGCACTCCAGACCCCAAATTCCCATCCCTACTTCAGGCACGGCTGCTGAGGTTCCCATTGCTGCTATAGCAGCAGATCTCCAGAGCTGTTTTGCTTTGTGCAATAGCACTTGGCTGCCCAAAGGCCGGATCCTGCGCAGGTCTGCCCTCTGTGACCCCTTGCACAATGGTACACACAGCTTCCTGCAAAGGAAGATAATGCACTGCGATGCGTATAAATAGAGCTTAAAAGGTGTGGTTGCAGTGCTGGTGTAAATGTGTGCATTGCAATTATTGTGTTGTTCAAGATTACCTGCTGCTGCACAGGCTCACTGAGCTCTGTTTGGAGCTGGGGGACTGACCTTTCGCTAGTTTAACATTAACGGAGTAAGAAGACGCTCAGCAGTGCCTTAATTAGAGCATCATCTTCATTACTCATTAGCAGACCCAGGAAGGTAATTACAGTAGGCCCAGCATTGCCACGAGACTTCCACTGTTTTACCCTGCGATTGCAAGGCACAAGTTTCGGCCTTGCATTCTCCAGGATAAATGCAAGGAAGTCCCAGCACTGCTGCACAGCATGGCCATGGGATCAGAGAACGGCCTGGGTTGAAAAGGACCACAACGATCATCCAATTTCAACCCTCTGCTGTGTGCAGGGTCTCCAACCACCAGACCGGGCTGCCCAGAGCCACATCCAGCCTGGCCGTGCCCTGGCCCAGGCAGCAGTTGTGTGCATCACTCTGTGCCTCACTGCTGCTCTTTAGCAGGCATGGAGGAAAGGGATGGATGCTGACCTTGTGCTGCATTGCATGGACTGATGGCGGGGATGTGCTGCACAGAGCCCTCAGCTGCTGCAGCTCTGCAGGGCAGGATCTCTCCTCTGGAATTGGCCCACAGATTGTTCCCATGGTGACACAAAGATGCACACTGCACTTTTGTCTCAGTTATTCATCAGTCCTGTTTGTCGCACACTGTGAAAACAAAATCACGGGGTGAAGCACAAAAAGATCTGGAGATAACGGGGCTCGCTGCTCCTGGCTTCCCCTCTTTTTGCACAGAGGCCTCGTGCCATGGGAGCAGGCAGCCTGGCACAGCCACAGGTCGCAGTTGCACTCTCCCTTTCCTCCAGGAGCCACCCCTGCTTGTTTTGGGGCTGTGTCTGAAAGCAACCACTTGCACACAGCAAACAAATACCATGGATGCCGTTGTTCCAGTGCTGGGTAAAGGATTTCAGCTGAGGCCCCGCACGCCGTAATGCATTTAAATAGAGCTTAAAAGCCGTGGTCCTGACGCCAGTGTAAAAAATTGACATTGCAATTATTATCTCGTTGCAGATTAGCTGCCGTGCTGGTGAAATCCTTTATTTCAGACAGCCCCACGTCGGGACGCTTTTCCCCCTCAGACTTCTCCTGAGCCAGGCCCAGAGCTGATGATTCATGTATTAATATGTGGTTATTAGATGACTCCTCTACCTCCACGGCTGCTATCTGTCTTTGGCAATGGAGGAAGGAAATGAATTCTTAAAACCTCAGGAACAAATGGTGCACGCATGGAGATCAATCCTGCTCCCGCTGACGTCAATGGAAAAATTTCCATCGGCCTCAATAGCAGCAGAATGAGCCATATATATCAGACACTGGTGTAATTTACAACCCCACAAACATCCATAGAGCCGGAGGGGGAAAGTTGTGTCTGTTAAAAATAGCTCGTGGGAATTAAGTGGCAGTCGATGATGTCTCAGTTTCATGGGGACAGAGAGGTGCTGGGCTGTGCATTGGATGCGCGCTGCGGTGATGCTGATGGCAACATCTGTGGGTCCAACTCTGCGTGGGGTGGTGGTACGGCTGGATGGGAGCAGCTGCTGGAGCCTCTGCACATGGGGAGCCCCGTGGTGCCAGGACACGCGGGGCTGAGCTGAGGGTGCACACACAGCACTCCCCTGCCACGGTGCCCACAAAGTGATTGTTGCATCGATGGAACGGGGAGGAAAGAGGAAGAAAAGCCCCAGGCATCCTCTGCTGATGGCAGCCCTTAGGTACAGGTCAGCTGAGAGGCCAGCGCTGCTCGCTGCTTCTGGCAGCAGAGCTGGAAATGGCAAGAGAAAGCACAAAAAGCAATGATGTCCTTCCAGCACCAAAACCATCATTGTCATCACTGCCACCACATCTCTCATCAGCATCACTGCCACCACCACCATCATCGTCGTCACCTCCGTCACCAAAACTATCATCATCATCATCATTTACATCACCACCTCCCAGTATAAGTGACTGACTGGGATCATGCTGCCACCAGCCCCTCCAGCTGCACCCCACAGATGCCCAGGAAGCTGCTGTCCTGACCCCCAACAAATCTTCTCCCTGTGCTTTGAGCCTCTGCTTCCTCGTGCCCATGCCTTGGCTGTGCCCAAGGATGAAGGCTGCAGCCCCGTGCAGCTGTGTGACACCCTGGCCCACAACATGTCCCCATCCCCACCCCACCAGGAGATGAAACAAAGCATCCACAAATGACCACCGGCCCTTAATTAGAAGCCACCAGCTAACGAGATGTCATCCGAGCCAAATATTAGGAGCTGCCTAATAGTTATATCAATGAAATCAACAACAATTTAACAGCAAAGGTTAATTGCGTTTATACAAAAATCTGATAGACAAAACGATGCTCAAACAGTTGGGCAGACTAATTGAAAGCTAATGTTGCTCCTAAATTGAATTTCAAATGAATTTTACATCCATAGCTCATTCTGCTAATTTCATTCCCCGTATCCTGTAATTTGTTGGCAGTGATTGATTACTTAAGTGAATAATATCTATGTACCAGGGCTGCTTGGTGATGGAATGCTGTGGCTGCTGAGAAACCTGCTTCCCTGCTCCAAGGCAGAGCCCAATGGACATCCCCCATTGCCTGCAATGGAGCCGGCGCCTCAGTGTCTCAGGAGCCTCCGCTGCTGTGAGATGAAGGTAGTGACATTTCAATAAAAGAACTGAATCTTTGCAATGATGGTTGTTGGGTTTTTTTGGTTTTGTTTTGTTTTTTTTTGCATCCAACCAACAATTAGTGGTTGCTACGCTACAGCCGGAGCGTAATCATTGTAATAAAGGCAGCCAAGGGAAGGCATTAATCAGAGAGAGATGTGATTACCCAACCTCCAGCCCTATCTGGAGCCTCCTGTTGCTCTTCTGGTGCAGATCCTGGGCTCTGGATTTGGGGAACATCCCAAACTATGGGCTCAGCATCACTTGCAAGCATCAGTTTTGGGGTGTGCGTGGCCCTGCTGGCCGGGAGGTGTTGGGACCCCATTCCCCCCAGCCAGCAGGGCCACACACCCCCCAAAGGATGCAGTCAGCTCCATCCCCTGCCCCTCAAATCCATCCCAACAAGCCCCTAGACACAATTGCAAAAGAAGCACACATGCATATGCAGGAAGCTTCCGCTTGCAATGCATCCAGTGGTGCATCGATGGCAATTTGGGCGTATTTTGGGCTCAGCATGGGAGACAGCCCTAAAAGGACCACAGCAGGATGGGTACGATGCTATCCCAATTACCATCAGCCCCTCACTGGGTGGGATGCAGCACTGGGAAGCATCCAGGCTGCCAACATCAGTAGTGATTTCCTTAGCCATGGCTTGGGATGGTCAGATTTGCTGCTCTGGGCCCCCCGGATACCCCTGAAATCTCTTTTTTTTCCACCCAAAGGGCACACAGCTGCAGGGCCGGGGTTCCTGGGGGCGGCAGGAGCCCCTCCGGTTCCTCCGCTGCTCGCAGCCCAGACCGGGAGATGTCCATTCACTTTATCGGGGCTGCAGTGCCCTCATGTGGCACCTCTCCTCCACCCGCAGCACATCCATCTATCCCCAAATGCTCTAGAAAACCACTCCTTGCCCCCAAAAACCCTATAAGGATGCTCCGGGACACCCACCTCCTCTGTCCCTTCTGTCTCCAAACGCTCCATACCCCACACAACCCCTACAGACACACGCAGATGGCTGCAGGACCCCATTCCCTCACCTCACCTGTGTCACCCCCCCCAGCTCCCTGTCTCCCCCCCGTGAGCTGCACTGCAGGACCAAGGCACAGGAGATGCCACACATCACAGCAGTGCCATCAGCCCCGAGTTCAGCCCCTTCCCAGCAGGTTGGGAAGGGTCACCCTGCAGCGAGGATGGCGACGGTCTTTAGAAGTTCTCCTTGAAGAAGCGGAAGCCGAAACGCTCGCAGTGCACTCTGACCACTTTGGCCAAGGCCGGCGAGCCGCAGAAGAACACGTGCACCTTGCCCTTCCTCTCCTCTGCCACCCTGCCCAACACCTGCAAGGGAAGGGGAAGGTGCCGTGTCTGTGCCGCTGCTGGCAGTGCCCTGGCCCTGGCCCTCACCTGGCTCCAGTCGGGGCGGCCGGGCTGCGTGCGGGTGCGCAGCCCCGTGATGGAGTCCTTCTGCTCCTTGGCGGCCAGCAGGTCCAGGGCCAGCTGCAGCCCCACCGCCTTCACATCACTCCTGCCCAGCGCTGATGTCATGTACAGGTGCAGCTCCAGGAAGCGCCCTGGGCACGGTGGGGGAACCCGGCTGTGCCTCAGGATGGATCCGGGATACCCTGAGCTGATTTGGGGTGTGGGATGCTCCGCGTCCCGCTCACCTCCCGGCTCCTGCTCCTCCTGCTGCAGCTCCAGCGCAGCCAGCAGGTCAAGGAACCACTCAAAGTGCTGCTGGTCCCGGTTGATCCAGATGAAATCAACCTGGAAGGATGCAGCCTCCGTGTCAGGGCAGGCTGACAGCACGTGGGACACATCCAGCACGTGGGATGGGATGAGAGCCTGTATCTCCAATGGGATGAGATGTTCTGGAAGCCTGCATCTCATATCCCCTAAGGGATGTGAGCCTGCATCCCACATTCCCCCTGCAAACCCCACAGCCTGCTCCCACCTTCCTGAGTGCCATGTCCTCATCCCACAGGGTCTCACGTTCGGGGCAGCTCTGCTTCCTCTGGCGGTACCTGCATGGGTGAATGCAACCCTTGTCTGTACCCCTTGCACCCTGAGCACCCACACAGACCCCAAGCCTCCTTCCCCACCAGCCCCCATGCCCTGCCTGAAATCCCCTGGGCGAAGGTTAACCACAAAGGCAATACAGTGTAGGGCCCTGTGACTGCATGTCCCAAGTTTAGCAATAAGGAACTGCAGCCCTGAGCACGTGGCACAGCCCCAACCTGTACATGATGCTCTGCAGGATGGATGCAAAGGGAGTGATGCCAATGCCAGCAGCGATGAGCACAGCATGCTCTGAGGTGAAGATCCGGCGTGTCGGGGTCCCGTAGGGGCCATCAATGTAGCACTGGGAGAGATAGAGGCTGAGCACCCAGGAAAAGGGTGACAAACCCAACACCAAAGCAGGACGCTCAGCCCTGGGCAGAACCAGCACACAGGACTGAGTCCCTTCCCAGCTCCCACCCTGCTGCGCCCACCCCGAGCTCACCTTGATGCTGCAGAGCTGCTGGTTCTCACCCAGCTCCATGGAAACCTGCAGATGTGGAATGTCCATCAGCAGCAGTGGGCGGCCGCCTCCTCCCTGCTCCCACAGGAGCATCCAGCATTCCCCACAGCCTGGCTACCGGCTGCTTCAGGGTTGGTTTTTCCCCAACTGCACCCATCAGACCCCAGAGCTGAGCCCAGTGGGAGTGAAGGCTGATGGACCCCAACCCCAATCCCAAAGCCATTGGGGCAGTGACACCATATGACAGCAAGGCTCTCCCCCTCCCTCTGGGGACGTCTGAGGGGTTTGGAGGCTGTGCTGGCACCAACCACCTGCAGGGATGTGTCCTGGTCCCTGAGCCCATCCTCGGTCCCTCGGGTGGTGGTGGGTGTCCCACTGCGTCGGTACGACGTCAGTTCAATGGCTGCATCCCCAGTGCTGGGCACAGAGCATCCCAGTGTGCCTGGGGTAGTGCAGGGAGTGGGCTGCAAGGGAAGGAGAAGGGAGAAAGGGGAGGAGGGGAGGGGAAACAGGAGGAGGGGGTGAAAAAAGGGGAAAAAGGGGAAAGGGAAGGGGAGAGAGAAAAGGGGAAGAAAGGGAGAAAAAGGACAGAAATGAGATGGGAAAGAGAGGAAAGGAGGAAAAGGTGGGAAAGGAAAGGAAAGAGGAAAGAAAAGGTAGAAAAAACCCCACCTGTCACTGACTTCTATTCCTTTTTTGGAAAAGCCCAGCCTGTGCTGTGTGCTCCTGGAGCACCTTGACCCACAGGCACTGCCCTCACCCCACCATGCAGATGGCACATGGCAGGGTTTATCCTTACCCACCTGCACCCACTGCCACCACTTCTTCCTTTCCAGGGTCCCGTGGAGCTGCAGGAGCTCAGGCTGCCTGAAAAACTCATAGAGCCGTGTGGTCCACTGCCCCAGAGAGCGGATGTGCAGCCAGATGGTGTCTGTGGGATGGGGACATCACGGTGGCACAAGGGCTGGAGAACAGCATGCCCCGAGCACCGGCATCCCTGCACCAGAGCACAGGAGGGATGGCGGTGGGATGCTCATGGGATGCTCATGGGATGCAGGACATCCTGGCGATGCCAAAGAGAAGCCTCAGTTTGGGCTGCCCAGCACACCTTGCTGCTCAGGAGCACTGCTGATGCTGAATGGGTGCCATTCATAGGCAGCAATGGCTGGGATGTTCAGGTAGACGTAGTCCCCAGGCTCGTAGCGGAAGGAGTGTGGCCGCTGGATCACCAGGTGGGTGACCTGGGTTGGGAGGAGCAGAAAGCATCCAGGCGGTGATTTACCAAAGAAATGGTGTTTTCACCTCTCGCTGCAATCCTTCACCAAAACATTGCGGATTTCCTGAATGCCGCCAAGTGACCCCAAAACACGTCTCTGCACAGTTGAATCTGAAGACTTTACCCAACCTTACTGAAGCCAAAGAAAGGAGCAGTGCTGTGATGCAGGGGAGGAGATGCAGAGCCTCGAGTCTCTCATGCGGGGCTGGAGGAGCCCGACCCCAACCCACAGGGCCCTTTGTGCACACCAAGTTTGGGCCACGCACCTGAGAAGGCAGCAGGTGGACCTCCACGATGCGCAGCCCCATGGCACGAGACACAGCTGTGCCCACTGCCTTCTCCAGCACAAAGAGGCCCCCGGGAACCAAAAACCACTTCCAGAAGTTGGAAGCATGGAAGAAGAGCAGAGCCCAGACGATGATGTAGGAGAGGTGGCTCCAGTAGAAAAGCTGTAGGCAGGGGATGTGGGTCAGCAGGAGCGGGCTGTGCAGGGCTCAGTGCCCCCTGTGCCACAGGATGGGGCACCTTTGGGGTGTTTGTGTGCATTGATGTACCTCGAAGTGCCCACCACGGCGGATGCAGGGGCTGGAGAAGGTGAGCATAGCAAACAGCAGCACCTGCAGGGCCAGCCCGGTCTGTGGGGCTGTGCCACCGAGCCCCCCACCACCGGGATGTGCCATCAGCAGGAACTCAGAGAGGGCACCGTGCCCAGCCTGTGCCAGCCTGCCTGCAAGCAGAACAGCGGTGAGGAGTCTGAGTAGCTGTGTATGAAAGCACAGTCTGGGATCGCTCAGATATATTGAAAACGAAACATGTGTCCTTGTGCAAAAATGCCACGCGAGGACCACAGGAACCGCGGGCACCGGAGCTCCTGGCGCGGGGGAAGGAAGGAGGAAAGGTCTGCAGGCCCCGCTGCGGCGCTGCCCGCCTGGGAGAGCCGCTAGAGGGGGACAGCAGGCAGAGCACGAAGCGAGCATCTCCAACCCCAACCCCAACCCCAACCCCAGCCCCTCCCCGGCCCCGCATCCTCCCCGCTTACCGAAGTTGGCCACGTGCGCTCCGGTGTGCAGCACGGCCAGCGCCAGCACGGCGCTCCCCAGCAGCTGATGGAGGCTCACGCAGCGCTCCAGGGGCAGCGCTCTGCCCGCGGCGGTGGCACGCAGCCGGGTCAGGCACCGCCGCAGCATCGGCACCTGCGGGGCGGGGGCGGTTCGGGGACCTTAAGGACGCCCAGTGGCGTCACCCCGCCGCCTCGATCCCCCTCCCCGAGACCCGGAGTTCCGCACTCACGGCGATGAAGGCGCAGTTGAAGTTGAGGCACTGCCCGCAGCCCCTGGCCACCGCCACCCACCCGCTGCGGCTGACGTGCTGCAGGGCAGCCAGGATGAAGAGCAGCAGGTTGAGGCTGACGTAGCCCCCGAGGAAGGCGAGCTGGGCACGGCGGTTGTGCCAGTACCACGAAGTCAGGCAGTGCGGCCGCCGGCTTCGCCGTGTCGGTGCTGGGGGCTTCAGCCAGCTGGCAGCACTACCAAGGCACCTCATAGTGTCCTGCATCCAACCCTGCTCCTATCTGGGCACTGACCCTGCATGCAAATCCTTTGCCCACCATCCTGTTACCCCCGCTGTTCACCCGCATCCCTGCTGTTGGAACTAGGTGATTGTCAAGGTCCCTTCCAACACAACCCATCCTATGACCCCACTACCCATCCCAGAACCCACCCCTGCACCCCAGCTCACCCACCCTCACACCACATCCCAGTCCCCACCCCAAGCCCAAGTGCTGCAGCCACCCCAGCACGCTCCTGAGCAAAGGGACAGGATTGAGATGCCCTCAGCAGCGCCGCAGGGCACCCCGCTCTGCTGGAAAGCAGCCCTGAGCTGCTCCTGCTGCAGGCCTGAGAGCCTCCACAGAGCAAAAGCCCCACAGCACAGCAGGAGGGAAGAGGCTCTCACAGAGGGAAGAGCGTCCCACGGAACCACATCCCTACCTGATGGTCAGGCTCTCCATCAGCCCCGGGAAGGCCTCCAGCTGCTGCTGCAGCTCCTGGAAGGTGATGGAGCCGTTGCCATCCTTGTCGGCCGCCTCGAGCAGCACCCCGGCCATGTCGTGCAGGCGCTGTGGTGGCAGTGAGATCTCGCTCTCACGCAGGCAGGCCTGCAGCACCAGGAGCAGCTCGGCTGCGTCGATGGAGCCGCTGCCTGCAGGGAGAGCAGCACCGCCTCACAGCCCGGCCTCAAGCCCCTCCACTGCAGTGCCATCCCCTCCTGCCTGAAGGGACAGCTGCGCCCACCTGCAGCGATGCCATCCTTCACCAGCACGTTGGTTTGGGGGAATTGGAGAGAATTCTGACCTAAAATTCATTCCCATTCCGATGCTGCCACGGGGCTTCTCCCCTCCACCAAGGGCAGCAGGGAACACAATGCACGCCTGTCTCTCCGCAAGCAAAGCTAACATGGCCGGTGCATTTGCTGCCTTACAGATGGGTGCTACTCCCATCCCAACAGGACAGAAGAGCACTATTCAGGGCTGGGTGCACTGAGCCATCCTCTCACCATCGACGTCGTAGACTTGGAAGAGGAAGCGCAGCTTGTCGGCAGCAGTGCCGTGCAGCAGCAGTCTCAGGGCGCTGTGCAGCTCCTCCAGGCTGATGGTACCACTGCCATCCACGTCAAACAGCGCGAAGAAACGCTCAGCAAAGAAGGACTGCAGAGGATGGATGTGCTGGGGCAGCTCTGGGATGCTCTGCACAGCCCAGAGCTCATACTGCAAAGTGAGCTCCCGCTGCCAGCAGTGCTCAGCCTCACTGATAAGTGGAGATCAATGCAGGGTCCAGCGCCCACCTCCTTCACCTGAAGGGCCGCCTTGAACTCCTCCAGGCCGATTTCCTCACCCTGCCCTGCGATGCTCTGGAACCGCTCCGTCACCCAGCTCAGCCACGCTGCATCCTCAGCTGTGCTCATGGTGCCGGGAGCCTGCAGGGCGAGCAGTGGGACGGCTGGGAGCACTGGGGCCCTCGGGAGCTCCTGCCATCCTGTTGAGCCTCAGAGCACAGGGGATGGCACCCAGCGCTGCCAACATTGCAATCTGCCACCTGTGCTGAGCCGCTTTGCTATCGACACACCTCACCTGCAGAGCTACAAACCACAGAGGCCCAAACCCGCACTGCTCACCTTCAATCAGACACTGGATGCAGCTCTCAATCCCAGCAGTGCTGCTCAGCCCCAGCGCTCTCCCCGAGGAGCTGCAGCCCCTCCGTACCCTTTTAAAGGCTGATGTCCATTCAGTCCTGCTGAAGCTTTTCAAATCAAAACAAAAATGGATTTCAACACAACCATGAAGGAGCATCTGGCTGCGACGTTCCCACAATGACCTCCTTAGTTTAGAACTGATCTGACGCTGCCTTTATGGATCCCCACCGAAACACTCTGAAAAAATAAAAGGGCACATTTGGTTCTCTGAAGGCAGTGATCCAACCATCAGCCCAGGCACCGCAGACCATTGGCTCTGTATGCAAAATGCATTCACTGCTCCTGGCTTCCCTGCTCCGCAGCCTTGGCGACCCACAGCAGGAACACGGACTGCTAACTTCCACTGGGCAGAAGGAAAAAAAGGTTTAAGGAAATATTTTAACCAAATACACCAAACTTTAAACAGAATCGTGGCATGAATCCATTCTAATGACCAAAAAGGATGGAGGAGGATGTCCTGGATACTGAACTCAAAACCACGCAGCTGAACAGCTTGAGTTTAAAAGCACCTTTATGCCAAAAGAAAAGCGAGCTCCCATCTCCAGCCCTGAGCCCGTGCAGAGGGCTGAGCTTCAAGGAAGAGCAATAGCTGACAGAAGCTTTCTAGGAATTTTACTGAAACCAGCAGAAAGAAAACAGACATAATATACAGCGCCACAAATCTGGCAACCAGCAGCAGGAAATAAAAATAGCACCAGTACAAACTTGCTTTCCAGTGATCAGAAATGAAAATATGTCCGCCTAAAAGTAAAGAAGAAGAGAAAGAAGAATTGCTGGAGCCAATTTATTCTCGTCACATTTGCACAGAACGTTGTGTGTAACTGCTGATACTCCACATGTGACTGCCTTGTCATCCTGCACGCCCATAGGCACCCCTGCAGTCTGGAGAAGCCCACTGAGCAACCTTCATCATCATTTCCCAGCAGGTTTGGAGTTTCGAAGCTTCAGTGTGATTTTTAGCACGGCTTCTTCAAGAACACTCCTTAAAGACGTCACCGAATCCATTCTTCAACTGATCAAGGATTCCATTCTCCCTTTTTGCACCCCCAGTCTGCAATGCTGATGCCAGCTCTGCCATGGCTGCTGCCAGCTGTGCAGACTCAAACCCACACAAAGCAACAGAAACATCTGGCTGGGGCAGAGGAGATGGCACTGCTGGCACAGCAGGTTTCCTTCTCACCGTGCCCCTCACCAGCTCTTTTTGCTCCCCAGCCTTCCTCCTGCATGCTTGCAGCCAAGGAGCAGCGGTGCTGTTGCTGGGGGTGGCAGCTCCTGCTGCGTGCTGAGCTCCTCGCGCAGCGTGGTGCAGAACAGCCAGCAGGTGCCCCAGGGTTTCATCCTTTGCTGCTTCTCCTGGCCTGGACAGGGCTGTCCCTGATGCTGTAAGAGAATTAAATGGCTTTTACAGTGTGTAAATGGTACATGTTTGCTTTGCTCACCCCCCAGCCTACATCACCGGTAGCAAATTTCAGTACAAATGCGCTCGTGCTAGAATTATTGTTCTCTTCCTATTTACAGAAGATATGTTAATGCTGCCATATGAGGTGGTATGCTTTCCTGAACAGGTGAATAATTGAAGATGCACAAAAACATCAAAGGCAACACCTATCATACAGTAACTGCTCAACCTAAACCCCTTCACACTATCTCCTAATTCTGTGCTTTCTGAGATACGAACGATGGCAGATCACAGAACCACAGACTGGCCAGGGTTGGAAGGGACCCCAAGGATCACAAATCTCCAATCCCCTGCCACATGCAGGGCCACCAACCTCCCCATTTCGTAGCAGCCCAGGCTGCCCAGAGCCCCATCCAATCTGGCCCCAAACACCTGCAGGGATGGACAGGGCATCCACAGCCTCTCTGAGCAGCTGTTCCAGCACCAATGGTTTGGTGCTGAACGGTTTGGGTTGAAAGGCACTTTTACAACCACCCAGTTCCAACCCCTGCTACAGGTGGGGACCCCTCCCACCAGACCAGGTTGTTCACAGCCCCATCCCTCCTGGCCTTGAATGTGCACAGGGAGAAGGCATCCACAACCTCTGGCCAACCTGTGCTCTGCCCTCACAGTAAAGATTTTCCTCCCGATATCTGCTCTAAACCGACTCTCTTCCAGTTTGAAGCCATTTTCCCCCACCCTGTCGCCACCTGCCCTTATGAGAACCCCCTCCCCAGCAGGAGGAAGCACAAACCAGTAACGGAGCTGCAAACAAAACCGACAGCAAACGTTACCCCAGACTAACAGCGCTGGGCTGGGGAACACCCCCTACAAAACGGCCCTTGCTCAGCACGGCCGGCTGCCCCTCACCGCCGGGCGGCAGCAGCAGCAGCAGCGCGACCCGCAACATCCGCAGCCCCAACGCCATGGCGGCGCTGCGGGGCGGTGCTGCCCGTTGTGCGCATGCGCACAGCAGCTGCAGGGCATGGCGTCGGGAGGCCGCGGCTGGGAGCGGCGCCGCGTGCTTCGCCCTGGGGGCTCAGAGGGGCACAGGGTTGTTGCGGAGCCCCGTCGGATAATGGATCAGATCGCTCCAGGCTGAACAGACCCAGGGCATTCAGCCTTCCCACGTCAGGAGACGCTCTGTGTATCTTTGCGTCCCTCCTCTGGGCTCTTTTCTGGATAGCCTGGGCTGTTTTGAAGTGGGGAGCCCAGAGTTGGGCAGCGGATTGTATACGTGGCTTCAGCAGGGCAGAGCAGAGGGGAGGATCGCCTCCCCCCGTGGTACTGACCATATTCTGATTAACAGCTCCTTTAGGCAATGAGGGGTGGCTGCAACACCCCTGTCAAACCAAGCGTGGCTCAGTGCAGCACTAACACAGCTCCTGACCCATGGCTGCGTGCCGAGGAAGAGAACAAAGGGACTTGGAGCCAAGAAGGGGAAGAGCAGAGAGCCGGGACGGCTTTTTTCTGCTGCTGCAACAGCATTTCCCTGATGTCATCAAGTGATGGGGACTGAGTGGTTAAACAGACAACACACCTGGAACAGAGTGAGCCCCTTACTGTTTGAACACTCACCAGAAGGCGTTCATGCAGAGCACCGTGGAGGATTTTCCTTTCCACAGGCACAAAGTTGGCACCTTTCTGGGAAGGCCTACATTCAGATGGTGTATTACAAAGCTCTGACCCTTCCTGCGCCCTTTGTAAAGAAGCCACATCCCCTGTTCCACTCGAATGGCATTTCTCAGCAGGTGGGGCACGACACAGTGGGCAGCAATAGGAAGGACTGCGCAGAAATGCAAGCAACCTATGGGCACCCTTAGATGGGACAGGGGGAAAAGATGGTATCACAGAAATGAGCAGTCACCTGCAGCGGGCACTGAGACTCAATGGTGTGATGGGAGAGATGAGGGGCATCCCAAAATTTGGGTCAGAGGAATCGGTAGATGTGAGAACAGCCATTCTCCAGGCTGCAACAGCTGCAGTGGGATCCTTTGGCAGAGAATGCCAGGCCTGTGTTGCCTGAGGAAAAACGGCCTGTGAGCATTTATATTTAAAGAACAGCGGGAATAAAGTCAGGGAGACATTAGCAGGAACTGACAGGAAAAGAAAAGCACTCTGTGGGTGCTGGAAAAATGCAGTCTGTGCTGAAACCCAGCTGTGCAGACACAGTGAGCCACTGCTCTGCTGCTCCCATTGCGTGGCCAGTGCTGGGCCCAGAAGGAAATCCTCTAGGGGGAGTTAGAAAATTGTTTAAAGGATTTTCTTCTCCCTTTCAGTCTGATGGTATGAAAAGACCAAGAGGCCATGAGGCATTCCACAAAGAAAATAGTAATTAAAGAACTTCATTAAAGGAGGAACGTTCAGAGCACAGCAGAGGCACCAGGCTGGGAGCAAACACACACTGCAAGGCGGGTGCTGGTGCAGCGAACTGCAGACCAAAGGGGAATCTGCCTCTCCTTCAAAGTAAGCCATTTTCACCTGCCAAGAGATTGTTGGAGATCCAGGCAAGCCAAGGAGATCCAAGGAGCTTTGGGGCTGGAGGCGCAGCAGGCAGCGGGCCAAGGTCAGCAGCAGCACAGCTGTAGGATTTGCCATGCTGGGCTGCCTGCATCAGCATTTGGGGTTCCTTGGGGCAGCCCCAGATATTTGGGCGCTGTATGTCATGGCACAGCAGTACGGCCCAGTGTGACACCACTGACTGTTGGTGGAAGGATTCCAAATAGTTTTAAATGGCAAAGTGAATCCGCACCCCTTAGGAAATGCTGCCACTGAAAGTCACAGGGGAAATGCCACCCCTGCTTTCCCCAGAAGTTACCAGCCGTTTCATTACAACCAGGATTCACTATCCACAGTCTGACCAGGTGCTTTTAACCTATTGCAGGCTTGCAGCTGTGAGCTCAGTATCACTCTGTGGCTGTTTAACCTCACCTGAGCAGCCTTGTGAAAATCAATGGCAACACACATGCGTTAGAACAGGAATTCTGTGCCAGGAGAGTTCTAATTAGGATCCTGCTACCAGCAAAGCAGCTGGAGGGAAGTTGGCACAGGAAAGACAGGGCTTTTAAAATGCATTCCTCTCAAAATAAAAGTTGTCTTTGTTGAGAGTTGGTGGCACAGTCTTTGGCCTACCTGAACCTTTCCTGTTCAGTTAAATTAAAGCACAGCTAATTATCCCTTTTAGGACAAGTAGCAGAGTTGAATCAGACCCAGCCACAGCCAGGTGGTAGCAGCACAACGAATGCTTACAGCTGTACTGCATGGGGCTGATTGGAAACTGGATGCAGAAGGCCAGCTTTGATGCCTGATGCTGGCAATGCCACTACAGTACCCTTGAAACAATCTCTGAGTGGCTGCCAAGCACGCTTCTTCCTTGATATCCAGAGCCCTCTATTCTCCCAATCCAGAAAAGAATAAGCAAAGCACCTCAAGACCTCTCTACTGCCACTTTTTCCTGAAGTGCCTCGCACCATCTCCTCAGTTTCCTCTTGATTAAGGAAAGCAGCACGATACACCTTGCAGAGCACATCTCACCTCTGTACTGCCATGGAAGTAGCAAAAGCAAAGGCTTGTCTGTGCACAGCTTTTGTACTGACACAACTGAGGTTATCTGAAAACAAACCCAGTTCATTCATTAAACTTGCCTGTATTGGTGTCATTACATTTGTACAAAGACAGTTCATAAAAGCACAACTGCTATGCCTAAGTGCATGCACAGCTGTGCACATTTTCCTAAGCAGAGTGCTAGGTCTGCAGAAGGTTTAGAAGTCTTTGGACAACACAACAGCCCACAGAACAGACACAAGGAATTCTGCTCAAAGAAAATATTACAAATTCATTCATTTACTTTAGGAGGAAGGGATTAAAAGATTCCAAAGTGTGCTACTTCCCTGATTTCCCACCCATAGGTCTTTCCTTGCTCTCCTCCCACTCTGAGGTCTGCATCTGAGCCAACCAAAAGCCATGCAACAGGCAATTAGCCTTGGTTCCCTGGGTATATTAGAGCATCTGAAGGGAAATCAGGCAAATAACCACTTTTAATTCAGAAGCCTAGCTCAATTTTAATACTGAAGGAGTATGACTTACTTCCAGTCCCACCAGTTCTCCCAGAACCTCCACCCCATTAAACCTGCCCAGCAAGGTAACGAGTGACAACACACCTCCCCAGTGAAATGCAAGGTACAAAAAAACCCCAAACACTTTATCATTGGCATATTCATTGACAGAATGGCCTTAAGAGGATGTCACAGGCTGCTGAGGAGCCCAGGAGCAGATCAGTGCCTCTTTAGGTCACACACCACCCCTTCAGGGGACAAGGGGCCACAAGACACAGCTGGAGAAGCCTCAGCATGCAGCAGCACTCACTGCTCCATCACTTTGTTCCTTCCTCCTGCTTGCAGCTGAGTGCTACACCAGGCGCTCCTCAATTCTCAGACCTGTTGCACCTATTCGTGGCAAAGATCAGCACCAGAGGAATGGCAAAGTTGTAGAAAGTGGTGACCTATCACTACCTCTGCAGTTTCTAATAGTGGCATTACAAAGCAGAAAGTTAGTTTCTTGCACTGAGGAAATGCATACAGAAATCATGGTGTGCTGCTAAAGAGAAATTTCAGAGCAAAAATCCTAGGAATACATCTTTTACACATGGTTTTATATAAATGAGACAGACTGAAAATCTGTCTGAACTGAAAAACAGTCCTTCCATCCGAACTTCACAGCACTCAAACACCTCCTGGCCCACGCTGGTACCTGCTTAGGATTTTACCTTTTTTTCCCCCCATTTTATCTTATCAGGGATAACACAAAATGAAGTCTGTTTGGTGATACATATTTACTAAATTCATGGAAGACCAACAAATCTGGTTTCTAGAAATCCAGAGATGCAGAATTCCAGAGCCAGAAACAGAAGATAAGATCCTGGAAGCAGCAGTGGGTATGCTAACAAAGCGCTGCCACAACACGTGCTTGTTGGGCAACAAGTTAAAGCCCTTTAACATCAGTGACGTCCCCATACAGTCATCTACACAAAGACAAGAGTACTGTGTTGGTTTTGGACTGTCTGACTATGCATGTTAGGCAACAGCTCCATTTTAGGGCTCAGTTACAGCCACAATAACAGCCGAGTCACATCTACTTACCTTGAAACAAGAAGAAATACGGATAAAACACAACGTGACACTTAATGCTGACCAAATACACATCTAGTGTTTGCTGTTCTACCTTAAAAGGCTAAGACAGGTACTCATCCCTATTGGTGAACAAGCTAAGCAGCAGGTACGATTATTACTGCATCAGAAGAAGAAATGCTCTGCAACACAAGGCAGTGCTGGCTTAACCCAAACTGGTTCTTCCCATCCATATCACCAGCCAAACGTCCAGCTTCTGCTCTGCTATCACAAGGCACTGCCTGCAATCCCAGCAATGAAATAAAAAGACCAGGGGGCCTCAATAGCCAGCAGGTGGTTGGATCTGCCTCCGTCGTTTGACCGCTTGCCCAGCATTTACCTCACAACAGCAGCACGTGTTTTCCTGACCTCGGGTTTGATTTGAGCAAACAACAGATCAGGGAGAGCAAGCAGCAATGCAAGAGGATGGCAGGACCCCACTCACAGCCCTTCTGGAGCACCACAATTCCATAGACTGCAGTTATACTCAGATTATTTTACTTTGCCTGTTCAGTAGTGCAGGCCTTTCATCGCTGTTTGAGGTTCTCAATAGGATGCCCTAGTTAACTCAAATCCTTCTGCACCTCCTTCATTGCCTTTTCTCTTCCCTTTGTTGGAGTTCATTTAATCAAACACGATACTCCATGATTCTAAGATGGGTTTGTGATAGAAGCCCTTTGCAGAAATGTGTCTATTATCCAAGCAGCACCTCGCTTTGCTTAAATTCATTTCCTACTCCTAGCTGTAAGTTGCACCCACGCTTCCTTTGCAGTCAGAGAAGAAGAGAAAGACACAAGTATTGACAGAAGGAAGAGGAAGGCTGGAGATTCTAAGATGAGATCAAGGGGAAAAGGTTTTGTTGGTGTTTGTGAGAACTATTAGTTGCTGAGCCACTGCCTTCATTGCAGAGGAACAAAAATCCCTCTCTAGCATTCACCCAAGGTAGTGAATATCATACTAGAATCCTTTTTTTTTTCTTTTCCAACCTCACAGAATAAACAGTGATTGATTTCTATCACAATAACAAGTACTTTCCTTGCACTGACTTTCCCTGTACACCAGACCTTACCTTCACTAACCTGTATGCAGAAATGCATTGTCTGAAACTTCGTTTTGTTGGCTTTTTTAAGGCTCATAGACACACTACTGAATGCAAATAGAATACAAACACTCAAGTCATTTTTCTTCTCCTCTGTACACTCATTTATCCCGAACTTCTGAGTGGTTTAGGTTCAGGCACAGTAAAACAAGCCCAGCATACACAGCAGCTCGGTTTGCTTGGTCACTGTGAGTGAGGACACACATTGGAATGCAGTTCCACATACCTGCACATGCTAATTCAACCTTTTTGTATTCCAGAACCTGATTCTGTCCAGGTGCACACCCACCTTTCTTTACAAACATGCATTCTCATCCACACTTGCTATACTTTCTAGTTAAGACATCCCACAGCTGCCAACAGACACTTTTTGCATCTATTTTCACTCAAATTAACTGTCAGTTTTGAACACCTACTTCACTGCCTTGGAGGAAACAGACAGCAACCACAGCACTTGCACAAACAGCATTTCAAAATGCAACTCTTACTGTTTTGCCCACACTGCTCTATTTTCCAGAGCTCTTAACCAGCAGAAGTTGAAGCGTTAATAAACACAAACATTCATTTCCTATGGGTTTCCATTCATAAGGCCATCCGAGATTGGAAAGCAAATATTTAAGGAACAATGACAGAAACAGAACGTTTTTAAGACGACTGTGAAAACAGCAGAAATGGATGTAAGAAAACAAACAAGGTTCCATCATTTGTGGCTTTCAAGAAAGGAGCAATTCATGAAGCACGGAGAAAAGAAAGAAAAATGTGTTTTATTCCCGTCCTCAAGAGGCTTTTAAATACACACCATATATTGCAAGCTCTGGGAATCTTCAAAAAGAGAAATGCAGCCCGTGAGCAGCAATAACGTTGGAAGCCTCTGAGCATTTCCCCAGCTCATCTCCCACCACCCATTCCATGCAAAGATCAGTGTTTGCACTTCGTTCAGAGGACACAGCAGCTGAGGTGCTTTGCACGGCTGCTACCTGAAAAATCCGACCCCACAACAAAAGGTGCTGTAGGAGAAAGCTCGATTATCAAAACTTTATTCCAGCACTGAACGCTCAGCAGTGTGTCTGACTAAGCAGCCAGTTTGCTGCTAGGTAAGCAAAGAATTTCTGATCCTGTTTGTACAGTGCTGAACTCTAGCACACAAGAGGGTGAACTGTGAATACTGTGAAACTCAATTGATTAAATCACTGACTGTTTTTAGTAATAGCATTTCTGTTAAGAGAAAGTGCTTCCATTTACTCAACTGTTTATCCAGCTTAAGCTGAAGTGGGAAAACGCATCCTGCATGGAGAAAAGCAAACATATATGGCCTAACCAGCCTGCTTCTTTTTGGAGAGAAGTCTTTATGTTTAACAGATGAAAAATCCTTTTGGAATATTCAATATTTAATATCTGCTACTTAGTCTGAGGCTTGCTTTTGTCATATTTAAAAGGAAAGGAAAATAACATGTCATTTTCGAAGGCCTAGAACAGTAATACTGCACTCAGTACTGATAGCAGTTAATAATAAGAAATTCTATTCAGATTTTTCTCCATTTCCTCCAGTATTGGTTTTATCAGTCTGAGAATCCTGGTGAGGTTTTGCTTGGCCTGGTATTGGCAGAGCATGCTCCTCAGCTGCCTCAGCACTGAGTTGTGTGGATGGGAAGGACACATTTCAGCCTGCAGATTCTTCAAAGCATCTGATGCAGTTGCATTTGTTTATGTTGTCTCTAAAATTCAAGATTCAGCGATTAAACTGGGATCCCTCACATTGTGAATGAGACCCAGGATGAGATAGTTAAGAAAAATGAGTAAGTATCTAATTATTCTTGCTAGCAAGGAACAAGTCCAGAGAAGAACAACCAGCGTTACCTTGGTAATGGATGCTATCACGTACACAGGTGCTTCACTTTTGCTCAGGTTCCCAAAAGTGGAGGTTGAAAAAGGATAAAATTTCCTCCTCCTACCTACGCTACCTAAGGGACAAGTGTCAGAGAAGGAATGGCTTTTGAAATAACAGATAACGCTGCTGCAAGGATAAATCCAGAGCACCATGAAAAAGATCAGACACCTTACATCCCACCATGGACTTCTGGACAGCCTCAGCATCTTTTCCAGTTGTGTTCCCAGCCCAAAGCCACGCAGTTTCCTCATGCCTATCAGATAGTTTGGCACTGACACATTGACCAGCCAGACTCAGATCCTCATTGAGAATTACCTCCAACTTATCACTGCTGCCACTTCCACTGCAGAAAGAACACTGCAGGAAAAAAAAGAGAAATTACAGGTGTGCATGAGTCAACAGTGGTGATTTTTTTCAGCTTGACAGCAGCACTGCACTATGTGGGGAACAAAGATGTGCATAAGCTAGATCTCATTGGAGTAGAGCACCCAGCTTTGAATGCTGTGCCCTAAGCCTGCTTCACACAGCTTACAGCCAGAAAGCCAGTCAGAGCAAGTGCCTGTTCAGAAAACAACGTGCAGGGAGAGAATGGAGAAACAGAGGTGGCTGCCCTGACAAAGAGACCACAAAATCTGTCAGTACTTTCAACTAAATATTAACAGCTCCAAAAGGAAATAGAAACGCCTTTTTCCCATTCATCGCCCATTTGAAAAGAAAGGGAAGATTCAGGCCAGACAATGTGACGAGCGAGGACAGCAAGGTAACAGAACAAATGGTTGGGGAGCAGAAATTCCATTATCAGGGACCTCCAAGAGCAGCCCACACAAACACCTGCTCGGAACACAGAAGAACACTGTGCTGACCCTGCCCTGAATGGAATTACACACCAGCTCACTCTCCATACTTGCCAGTCAAGGTCTGATTTTTTCATGTTCCATCATTATTTGTTTTACTGTCATGTCTATCAAGTCCAACCTCTGAGTCACGCCAGGTCCTGGGGCAGAATAAACATGTGAGAGAAGTTCCACAAGAGGCACGAGAATGTAACACAAGAGATAACAGCAGAATAGACAGGTAGGAATATCCAAGGAAGCAGCAAGGCAGCACTGAGCAGTCCCAGCTGCATGGAAGGAGATAACCAAGGACGTCTGCGATCCTTACAGGAAAGTCAAGGTTGCTTAGGAGAAGAGGCTGCTTGTGATATTCTTCCTCATGTGAAAATAATGATCTTAAATGCAACAAGCAGAGAACAGAGGCTGGCACGCTGCAATCTGGGACAAGAAAGGGCTGCTCTATCAAACCATTACCCTGCACAACACCACCCTGCGTGGAGTAAATATGTCGTGTTAGGGAAAACAACGTTGGAAGGAGTGATTAATTAGACAGTGAAACACTGCAGAAGTTTTACATGTGCAGATGGCCAAGGAATTCATCTCTAAAATCTCACATAGAAATATGGAAGTCTAGACAACCCTAGGAAGGATTAGAGAGTCTTATTTCAGACGATGCCTGATTTGAATTTGCATGATAAGCAAATAAGGCTGTTTCATCTGCTGTGCCTGAGACAGTGATGAAGGAGGACTGGCAGAGGAAGATGAGAATCTCTGCTTTAATTACGTGATGCACGAGCTGATGCTTCATTTACACAGACAACATGAGATTTTAACTTCTGACAGAAAACAGAGCTAGGTAACACCAGAACTGCTGGTAAGACCATTGGTTTCATGCTCATGCAAAAATGAGGGACTTGAGATGAATGATTCTGGTCTTCCATCACCTACAGAAAACCTTAAGAGACAAACCTGACGTGGTCAAGAAAGAAGTAGGAAGGTGCAGAAAAAAACCTGGTGACAACCAGTCATAGAACCATTGGAAAACAGGTCTAAGGACATGGCTGCTTGTGGCAGAAGCAAGATGACCAAGGAAACTGCTGCTTCTTGGCTCTCATACTGGTGAGTAAACTTCTTGTTTTTTCTTGGCTTTGCACTCAGTTGCACATTGCAGACTGACAGGTGTGGATTCAAGAAAAGCAGACAGCATAGCCCTTCCTGCTCTGAGATAAAGTGCATTTTTTGACTTGAACATCACTACAGTCAAGCTGTGAATCACAGCCTCAAATGATTCATCAGAAACATCATCTGCAAATGGGTAATACAAGATCATCTGTCTCAAGACAGACTGGATGACCAACTCAGCTCACCAAGTTAGCAATGCATTACATGTTAATGCCCAACATTCAGCAGGTTTGCCCACAGGAAGCACACTTTCCTGTATTCCACTGGATTGTGTCCACCTCCAATTCAATAAGGGGCTGAGGCACCACAGAAGCATCCAGTAGGAAACGGGGTGCATGGCAGTAAGTTTTAAAATGCAGTGCATCCTTCTGGAGGGCTGAGGACAAGACAATCATATCAGCATTTATATATTCCTACACAATTACAGCAGAATCTTTTGTTCGGATCGCAGAACTCAGCTGTGTCAATTGAATCGCTCTGATTGAACTAATTGAATCTCAATTGCTCAAGTCTGGTTTTGAACAGTTTTGTATGACATTCAAAAGACTGAAGATTTCATTTATAAATGGAAGCGTGTGTGGGGAGGGACAACAAATGATTTGGCTGTTACCCAAAAGCTAACAAATGTGTAATATATTTCACTGGAGAAGCACACTGAGGTTTATCTTCCTGTGAAGGCCTCCATTTCAGTGCTCCCTGGGTTAGGGCACCACGGGGAAGGAGGTAGGGATCCTCACCCCAGCACTGACTGCACTAAAAGTGCACGTCACTTGCCCAAGTCCTGCCTCACCCCTGTAGCTACTCTGCTTCAGCACTCGAAACACAGTTGAATTACAGCTTTAGAGGACACACAGTGCATACTCCCCATAAAACTGCTTTTGCTGATTGCAGACTCCACGTGCACCATAGGAAAAATGCCAGTGTGACCACCAGAAATTCTCAAATATTTCCAGAAAAACATATGTTTAATTAAGCTTTATTTAAATGCCAGGCTAGATCTCATGGCTGATGTCTATCAGCAGCTTCTGTGCAAATCTGTTGATTGCTCTTTATCCTCACTGCAGGAATGGAACTGCAAGCAGCTCACAAGCCAGAATCAAAATGCTCATGAGGTCAATGGCAACGATTCCATCAACAATACAAGCCAGGCCACCACACCTGGTACCTGTTCAGCCTCCTGCACTACACCAATTTATTCTACTTATTCCAGTACAATACTTCCCCCTTAAAGGCATTCCTGGTGCAGATCAATATACAATATAAGAATCCTGCCCTGTAGGTTTCTAAAAACACCCTTCTACTTCAAAATTAACTCTGTTTTGATAAGTTCTGGGCTGAAGAGTTTACTTCCTTCCCTTTCACTCTCCCTTTGAACAAAGGCAACACCCACATATTCTAGCACAAGTCTTCAATCTGTTGAATTTTCATTTTCTTCCCAAATGTCTTAAGAGCAGATGCATCTACTTCTGTAACTGGGCAAGAAAATGGCAGAAGGCACACGGAATGTGCAGAGCCCAGTCTGCACCTCCAAGCAGCACCAGGCACTTTCAGATGGATAGGAAGTTTGTGGTCTGCTCACACTTGGGTATATATATATAATATATATCCAGGTTTGCCACGTGATGTGCAGATCACTTACCTCAATTTACTCATCGTTAAAACAGACTCAGTTCTTCCTCCTACTCTGTTACTCAGTTATCAATCCATTGGTCACATCTCCCTCAACGACATTTGGAACCACTAAAAACTGCAGCACCCCGTGTTACTCAGGGAGCTGGGTAAAACAAGACTTTCATATCCCATTCCCACCTGTGATTTACCCTGGAGTTTAACTGCTGAATTATTTAACTAAGCCAAAAAAGCAGTGGGCACACGTCACACTACTCTGCACATCAGCCAAAAAACCCAACCAAACAAAACTCAAACACACTAAAAGACGCTCAAAACCTGCTCTAGCTTTTGGTCAGCCCTAAGGTGTAACGCAAATGGACATGGTTATCTTTGTAGGCCCCTTCCAATTGAACCAATCTATTTGCTAACCTCCTCTGGAGGCTGTGAATATCTGATTGTTGAGGAGAGGGAAGAGTCAGCTCTGAGGTGAACAAACCTTTTGTAACATCTGAAACAGTATTTTTCATTTTAAAACTAGAACTATTTTTACTTCATAGGCTTTAAATGGAGATTTTAATTTTTAAAACAATCAGTTCTCACCCTGCTTATTATATTGGAAAAAGGCTCAAAGATGCCATGGGAAAAGGACTGAACCATTCTCAGGCTTGAGATTTTTGTTATTAAAACCGAAACAACCTCCACAATCTTCAAGCAAACTGAGAATCTTAGTATTTAATGGCATTTCCAAGAACACCACATGACTGTCGTTCCATAAAATGATAGCCACTTATGACAAAAATATGCAATACAGCTTTCACAAAAGGTGACTTTATTAGTGCTGAGCCCCAGGGTACACATCTATACGTGCTGGACACACAAGCCACAGAACTACACTACTTACTGTCACTCAGGTTGCAGTCAGCAGGTGCTTGGGTCGAGCACAGAGTCTCTTACTGCACAAGGAGAAACCCTGCAGTGTTATTTTAGGACTCATCTTTGTGCCTGGATTTAAGCCTGTGGAACTCGTACCATCAGTCAGCAGGGACAATGAGGAATGATTACAGCATGTTTTTGTAAATTAGCTAACAACCTTCGAGACCTCAGGATGCAGGAACTTGTGATTCCCTCTTTAATCTCTTTCTTGAATCGAGCCATAAACACCGTTGCTGAAGAATGCCAAACAAACTTGAGGGAGGCAGGAAGACTAAGGAGATGGAATTGACAGAAACGAAATCAAAGACAAGTAAAAGGCTGAAAAAGAGCAAGAAACCCTTTGAAGAGGATAAGGAAGGCAAAGAAATTAGAAACACTGCGTGTGTATGTATTTATGGTTGTGTTACACTTGGAACAGCTAGGAAGGAAGCTAAGTGTTCTCTCAAACAGGACAAAATGCACAGGTGACATGTTAGGAGATGCTAACGCAGATGTTGGGGCAATGCAGTTAAGCAGATTGCTCTGACAGTAAGTATCAGAGTCCCTGAATTCTAGGAAATTCTGCTGTCTTTGATGTGAGACTGATGTAAGACTTTGGGGAATCCACTTCAATTTCAAATGCAAATTGCATTTGTCGAGTGCTAGAGAAGTGAGTTCTGATGGTGCACATTAGTGACAGAATGTAACATTTTGTGGTTAGTATTTCAAAATCCCCCTCACTCTCCAGCGAAAGCTCGTCCTCACTTTGTCCAGCCATTTACAGAGAAAGAAGCCTGGCTCCAGCAGAACATTCCTTCCCATTCTCGTTGTCTCAACACTTCAAGACCTCCACGCTCCAAATTCCACTCTGGGTCAAGTCTGAAATGTGTCACTCAGCATAAATGGACACAAACACCAAACCACAGGTCAGATGCTTCAGATATTGCAGAATGACAGTTAGAAAGTTCTATCACAGCAAGAAGTTGTAAACCTCATTTAATAGGACACTGAAACAAACGCATTTATTACAGAAATAAAACCTCACATGCTGAAAATGTTAAAACTGAAGGTGTTCAAGTCTTTGGTTTTTCCTTGCCTGAATTTGACAGGTTTTACTCATCACCAGATTAATTCAATCCCTCTGTATCACTACTCTTTTACTATTTTTTTTTTTTTTTTTTTTTTTTTTTACAGAGAACACAAAACAAAACTCTGCCACTTCCAATTCCAGAGTTTTTCCTCAGCCTGAACACCTCAGGAAACCCTATGATGGTTCTATGCCAGTTTGAAACCTAGCAGAAACCTCTCCACTCACATACAGCAGCCTGGAGCTGGCACTGCTGCCACCATCGTTATCACTGCCACTCGAGCAGCAGAGCACAGGCCACGACAGGCTTTTTTAGCACTGGCACAGGGCACTGCAGCAGCTGCACTGCTAATTACACCAGCCACTGTGCCCCATGAATCACATTCCTCTTCGAGTCCCCTGCCCAAGAACTGTCCTCACTTTCATCTTCACTACTTAAACTGTCAGACTGAAAAGCTCTCATACCCACTAGAGCAAGTTTTGCACAGTACTCTCTTTCTACCATAGATGCTTCTTATTTTGACTCTAAGAAAGAAATACTCTGTGTTGGTCTGGGATACTTGTGCTAAATTAAAACCTAATGATTCTGTGAAGCGTAAAAACTGCATTTCCTTTTTTCCTCCCACTGGATAGAGTAGAACTTTTCAAATGCTCCTGAAGTTTTCATAAAGCCCCAGCAGAACAGCAAGGCTCCTTTGGCTCCAATTGCACTCACAGTCCTGGTGTGCAGGCCTCGTAAATACCAGCATCGTGATCTTCGTGCTTTAGGTTACCCAAATGGCTGCTGTAAAAAAAATGAAACAAAAACTTTCTGTTTATTCCAAAGCACACAGCTCAGGTAAGAAAACTGGATTTTCTACTTTCAAGAGAATTCTCCAGATCTCTCATCATCTTCAGGAACTTCCTGCAGACTCTTTGATAAACTTCAGTGTAAACTGTTTCACTTCATTTTCTACTGAAGTTACAAAATGTATTTTCTTTGAATACTTCAACTTCTTAAACTCTTTGTACCATGAATTGTCGTTTTCCCCCCACCTCTGATTTTGTTTATTCCCACCGCACTACAGCTGAGTTCATCAGGTTTTGCAAAGGAGTTTTGTCACAGTTTTGCAAGAATCTGAGGCTCTTTTCCTGCTGCTGTGTTAATGCACACACAGCTCTTTGCCTGCCTAGAAATACACATTCTCTATTCCTCCTCACACAGGTCTAACAAGTCACTGCATTTTGATTTTTCACAAGCCTGAGGAAAGCTGCACAGCCTGCTCATTTGACTCAGAGCCAGGCTATTCCTTCACTTCACATACACATATTTTCCCCTTCCAAATAATTCTGAAAGTCTGGCTAATGCTTTCAGTTCACAACATCGACTGATTCCCGAGGTGTTACAGGAGTTTTGAAGTTGGTCACACACAGGACACTTTCAAAAGGAAGACAGCAGCCATACAACGGCTGAATGCTTATTTACAAAATCAGTGGCACGTGCACAGAAAGTGGAACCGCTGCCCTCCACAGTTATTTATTGAGCCCTGCACAGGGATCTTTCTCACAGCAAGCTAAGCATCAAAGCCACCAACAAAAGCACTTATCTGTAATAACATCAGCCTATCTTCCTAACAAAATGTTCAATGCTTCAGAATATAAACAAAGAACAGCTTGGTCACCTGTCAAATGCTGAAGGATACACTTAAATACTCTTAAGCACTGTCACAAGAAGAAGGACAACACGCAGTACATCTGCTGCTAAATACACCCCCAAAACTCAGCTAAGCCCTCTCCAATAAGCAGGCAGTAACAACAGCTGGTTTGCCCAAGAAGGAAAAAAAACAACACATGTAGCAACCAGAGACTGGGGACAAACGGCTGCAGAAAGTGGTTTTAAAAACCAGTGCCAAAGTTATGGAAGGAGGCAGGCTGAAGTGTAAGTGTTGATGAGGCTATTGCTGCAAACAGCAAAAATGGGTGACTTTTGATTTCTTTCCTGCAAACAGCAAAAATGGGTGAATTTTGGTTTCTTTCCTCATTTTGCTAAACATGATGAATTCCCAGGCTCTGCTGGTATGCCAGATCCTGTGCAAATAAAGGGGAGATAACGCTGCACGCTGAGCAATTGGGGAACAAAACTAGTTTTGAGATATACCAGAAGTATTCATCTCTTCTCAGTTGGGAACCTTAAAACAACTACTTCCCTTTAAGTACATCACTTTACTTTTTTTTTTTTAGTTCTTTTCTCCTACTTGAAACAGTATTAGAAGACAGAACATTGTGACACAAACGTGCAGCACCTGCAAATGATAAGTGCAGAAATCACCACCAATCACTCATGTGCCAGGAGTTATACAGTCACAGATGTCAGCACTGAGAGATACTTTGTTTTAATATAATTCTCCCTTGAGTTAGGCAAGCTAAAAAAGGCAAATAATAGGAGACAAAAACCCTTCTGGGTCTAAGCTTCACTCTGCTTGCACCTCACTAACCACTATGAGGAGAGATTTAACTAACTGAACGAGCAACAGAAGGCACAAAACCAACACCCAAGCCTTTTACAACGGCAGTCAGCCTTGATGCCTCTGCAACCAACACCTTCAGGTCTTCATTTGCTTTTTCTATCTACAGCACTCCCATACTGAGGGTCTCAAAGCATAAATCTGCGTTGTCAAAACACACAGATTGTTTTCCAAAGCTTGTTTTTTCCCCTTTTTTCCTCAGAACTCCTGGATACCAGTGCTCAATGTTGTTCTCATTTCCTGCTCGTGACCAACCTTCACTGGAAGGATGGAGAAGTGAGGGCAGGAAGAGGGACAATTCACAAACAGAATTTTCTCTTTCCAGTTTCTGAATTTACATGCACAGAAATGACTGAGGAAGATGTTACACAAAACATGAAGGAACGCATTGTACAGATGCAGCAGGGACAAGCCAGATACCAGCAGGTCCACAAAGGAGTATTATAAGACAGAAAACAATCGGCAGCTCATTTCAGCAAACGCTCAACTACTCAGTAAGTTTACAGACATGGGAAATCCCCCTGCTGCCTCTCACATAAAACTTATGCTGAAGTAAAGCTGCAGCACTTCACATTAAAAAGAGAAAAGGGGGAGAGATGTGCACAGCAAAATAAGAATTTGGGATGAAATCACCTAATTGCAGTCACGCTAAATAGCTTTTCAATGTTAGAGCAGAAAATACCTAAAAGATGATCATAAAGAAGCTTGTAAAAATGCAACTCAATAAAGCCTTAGCATCTTCCACAGTGAGTGCCTTTAGCATTCCAGATTTGGGCCAAAGATCCTGACACACAATCAGCTTCTACGTGCAAACCCGTACTTAGAATTTGTTGGTCTCATAATTAACAACAGATGACTTTCAGCACTGAAGGAACTGGATACATATGTGAAACACATTCAAAAATCAAACATGAACTGCACTGATTACTCACAGCATCAACTTCTCTGTACTCAAACGTAAAAAACCAGAAGGTACAGATAAGAACAGGGTATCTTCATCTTCCAGCAGGACACTGACCACGGCTCCCCACGACCACTTCCCACCATGGTGAGCTGAGCTCAGCCCAGCACTGCTGCCCAGCTCCATAGGGACTCTGACAAGACAGGATTCCATAGGTTTGTCAGCACACAGCATTTCCAATCAGTGACATCTACAACAGAGAGAGGCAACTGCTTCCTTCATTGAAAGGCACAATAATTCCCCCATTAAGACTTAGCATTCCCACATCAAGACGTAACAGATTTTTTCCTCTACTACCAAAACAGCAAACCTGAGTCTTTATGGCACAATCATATCAATTTCTAAGCTAATTAATTTTTCTCAGGCCCTAAATCTAACAGTTGAACCAGTGACCGGGCATTGTTTGCTTTTAAGAAAAGCTGCACTCTGCACAGTTATTCAAAATGCACGCACTGTTTCGAGAGGACACTTCAATATCTGATCCCCAGAGTATTTCCATGCATTTTTACTTCTCCCAACTATTTTAAGTCTTCTAAAATCCTTGCAACACAACAGCACATGCTTGCATGGGGCAGAGAGAAAGAATCAACATTTAAACTTTTCCTTTTGGCTTTGAACTTTGAATAAATTTTTCCCTGTGTTTTGGATGGGAGCAGTTTATAATTTTAAAGAACACAATCTTATTTTCCAAAAAAAGCAAAAGAATAATAAAAAAAAACTCTACATCCTCAGAAACTTATTTTTTCCCATGGTGATAATTGACAGCTATTGTTCCAATCAGAAAGGTCAGCACGGTGGACCAGCAGTACAGGAGCATAACAGCAAAGGGAGCAGCACAGATGGAAAGGTGCTCACCCATCTCTGAGGATCTAGGCTCACAAGACAGACTCTGTAAGGGAGGGATCCCCAACCAGAGATCCTGGCCCAGTGGCAGTCAGTCCTTAAATGAGGCCTAAGAGAGGTGCAGCCAGGCTCCACCCCTTCCTGTCTCACAGTTGAATTGCCTTCACCTGTGCTCCAGGGCTGACCAGTCCTTTCCCAAGCTGCTCAATCGGTGCTTCAGGCCAGGACTCAATGGTTACCATACACCTATAGATGCTCCACTTTTCCAAGATCTTCACCTGTGCCATTAAACCACATTCCAGACCGAGACCTCCTTGGTGAAACTTCAACCTAGGGATCACCTTTGTTCACGCCTGTAAAGAAGAATTTAAAACAGAAGTAAAAATAAAATTCACCATAAGCCAGAAGTTTGAAAACTGCCAAGTTTACATCCTAAAACACTGCTTAGTAACTTTTAGCACACTGAAACCAATGTTATCAAACAGCAAATAAAACAACTCATCCATGCTGCAGAGAAAGCAGAAATCCAATGTCTCTAACAGCTAAACTATGGAGAGACTTGTACTGTAGAATCACAGAATGGCCTTGGTTGCAAAGGAGCACAGTGCTCATCCAGTTTCAACCCCCTGCTGTATGCAGGGTCACCAGCCAGCAGCCCAGGCTGCCCAGAGCCACATCCAGCCTGGCCTTAAATACCTCTGGGGATGGGGCATCCACAGCCTCCTTGGGCAACCTGTTCCAGTGCCTCACCACCTTCTGGGTGAAAAACTTCCTCCAAATATCCAACCTAAACCTCCCCTGTCTCAGTTATGTCATAGAACTGAGTTCAGGTTGGAAGGAACCTTAAAGATCATCCATTTCCAACCCCTGGTGATCCCACCAGATCAGGCTGCCCAGGGCCCCATTCAGCACAGCCTTGGGCACTGCAGGGATGGGGCACCCACAGCTCTCTGCTCAGCATGCACCAGCCTGACCTCACCGTCATCTGAAAGAAGAATTGCTTCCCAACAACTAACTTAAGTCTCCCCACTTTAAGTTTAAAGACATTTCTCCTTACCCTATCACTATCACGCAGTTTAAACAGTTACACTCCCTCCTGCTTATGAGCTCCCTTCAAGCACTGCAGGGCTGCAATAAGATCTCCCTACAGCCTTCATCACAAAAACATTCACCTGCTGCAAATAAGGAGAGCTGTGGAATTAAGATTATTGCTTTTTACCTTACACTGGATCCAGCTCCATCTCTGCCAGCTCACTCAGTCCCACAGAATTCACACTGAGCTGCACCCACTGCAGCTCCTCCAAACGACACGGGTAAGATAAATACCCTACAAATGAAAATATTATGGTAACAGGCTGGCAGCAATTCTCACCTTTTGATGACAAACACCAAACCACTCTCACGGCCTTCTCACCGCCTCCTGAGCACACAGGGAGCCCCACCAAGGGCCTCGTGCTGCTCTTCTCTGCGTGCTGCCGGCCTCCAGCACGGCAGGGCCGGGCCGGACCCAACACAGCCATCGAACCATGCCAAGACATTTCCGACACCTCGTTTCAGCAGCCCGCCCGGCCAAAGATACGAGAGAACGCACTTCTTATTGGCAACGCGGGCCCTCGGCCGCACGGAGCCGGGCTTCGCGCGACCCTTCCGTTCACCGCACCGTTAGCAGCTCGGCAGCGCCTTTACACAGAGGAAGCCGCCCGGCCTGGGCCTTCACAGCACCGCCACCGCCTCCCCAACCGGACATCGCCTCAGCTCAGCACCGCACCGCACCGAGCCGCCCCCCCCCCCCCCACAGCGGCACCTCCTCCTCCCCTCACAGGGCGCCCCCTCCCCCGCCGGCTCCGCTCCGCCCCGCCCCGCGCTCTTCCCGCCCATTCCCCCCCCACCCGCCGTCGGCCCGCGCGCCATTCCCCTCAGCCACCCCTCTGCCGCCCCGCTCCGCACCTTTCCCTCCCTCCTGGCTGCGCGCCCCTTCCCCGGGCGGCTCCGGCTGTAAGCGCCGCTCCCCGCCCCTCGGCGCCTCCCCCAGGATCCGGCAGAGCGGCGGGGGGAGAGCGGTGAGGGGGGGAGCACGGCGCGCCCCAGCCCCACCGCGGAGCCGCGCCGCTCCTTCCCCATCAGCCACCAGCACGGAATGATCCTCCGCTCCCAGCCGGGCTGTCCCCCTGGCCGGCTGTGCCGCTCCCCTATTGGCTCCCACCGCGCCTCGCTCCCTCCTATTGGCTGCAGCCAAGCGGCGAGGCGAGGCGATTGGCTGGATCGGCCGTCCATCAATCCGGAGCCCCCACCTCCGCAGTTATCAGGTTAGTGTTCGCCGCGGCGCTGGGGCTCGGGATTCCGAGCGGCGCTGGTTGAGCCCTCAAAGTCCCTCATTACCGCGCGGGCTGAGGGGGGGTCTGCGGCGGTGTCACCACACGGAGCGGAGCCGGGGACAGCGAGCGCCTCCCGCCAGCCGCGGCCATGGACATGAAGAAAAGGATCCACTTAGAGCTGCGGAACAGGACGCCCTCAGATGTAAGCAAAAAAAAAAAAAAAAAAAAAAAAAAAAAGCAAAAAAAAAAAAAAAAAAAAAAAAAAAAAGGCAGCTCATCTATCTATATTTTTTTTATTATTTTTTTAAAGGGGGAGGGGGGGTGGGGGGGTCGCCTTCAAAGCTCCATGCCCGAGGGCCGCGGGCCGGGCGCTGCCTCCTGCGTGGGGCGGGAGGGGGGGGGGGGTTGGGGAGGTGGGGGTCCTCACCTCGCACCTCGCACCTGGGGGGCGATCCCGGAGCGGGGCCGGGGGGGGGAACGGCCGGGTCGTGGCGCCGAGGGGGGGAGGGCGAGTTGTGCCGGGGGGGTCCGGAGCGCGGCGGGTGTGTGCGCGGCGGGCGGGCGCGGAGGCTGGGGAGCCATATTTGTAACTTTGTGGTGCTCATGAACGCGCCCTTTCTCTCTCCTCCTCTCTCCCTGCCGATGCTGAGCGGGGGAAAGGGGAAAAGGGTTCTGGGGAGCGCTCGCGTGGCGGTGGGGGAGCGGGGAATGAAGGAAGGAAGCGGTAATAAAAACAACGATTGCGAGGAAGAGAATGCGCTCCGCACCTCTCCATCCCCGCACGCACAGAAGGGCCGGGTGCGTGTGTGTGTGCGTGTTTTCCTCTTTTTTAGCATTATTTTTAACCCCCGTCCCCGCACCTCGGGGCCACGGTTCGGCCTCTCCCCGAGCAAAGCGGCCGAGAAACTTTGTCAGGACGAAAATGGTCGGCGCCCGGGGGGTGCCCCGAGGCGGGCGGCCCCCAGCCCAAGCCCCGCTCCGAAGGTGGCGGCGGCGGCGGCGGGTTTCGAACCCGCGGCCCCGAGCGCTGCGCCCCCCGCCTCTCGCTGCGGCCGCGGAGGCTGAGGGCGGCGGTGGGGTCCGCGCCGAGGGCGGGGGGGGGGGGGGGGGGGAGAGCGCGGCTGAATGGAACGTACCTCTCGGGGAGGAGGGCGGAGGCGGATGGATGGATGGAAGCTGCTCTTTAAACTTTAAAAAGTCCTGGGCCGGGAGGAGGAGGGCACGCGGCGCGGCCATCCCGCGGGGCTCGTTGCGTCCCCTGCGCGGGGGCACAAAGCGGGCGGATTGCCGAACCGCTCCCGGGGCCGTCTCTCCAGGCGCGGGCAGCGCAAGTAGGACGCGGCGCCATGTTTTTTTTTTTTCCCCTCCCGAGCTCTGAGGGAGGAGGAGGAGGAGGAAGCAGGGCGGTCGGGCCCTCCCCGCCGCTCCGCGCTCCTCTCCGCGCCGGGCGGGGGTTCCCCTCAGCCGGGGCCGCTTCGGAGCCCTCGAGCCGCTCGGCGGTGGCGGTTGTTGTGGGGGAGCTGTGCGGGGGTCTGGGCGCGCCATAGCGGAGCGCGGCCCTCCCCTCCCCTCAGGGGGCGCGGCGGGGGCGGCCGGGGCGCGGAGGGGCTCCTCCATGACGGACCGCCGCCGTCTGCCATTTTGTCGCCGCTGTCGCCGAGCGGGCGGAGGTTCCTGGCGGCGAGACGCGGCGGCGGGACGAGCGGAGGGTAAAGCGCGGCCTGCTCCTCTCCCACACCCTTTCCCTTCCGGATTCACCTTTTTACAGCGCTTTTTTTTTCCCCTCTGGGGAGTGTCGGGGGGGGGGGGCGGGGGGCGGGGGATGCGCTTTGCGTAGCGCCCGGCGCGGCTTTGTTGTTTTTATTGTTACCGTCGTTATCTTGGAAGTATTTTTTGTCCTTACTTTGGTTTTGTGGGGTTTTTTTTTCGCGTTTGTTTGTTTTAGTTTTTGTCTCTCTACCGCTTGTGCTGCTGGAGGCTCAGATTCAGCGTTCTGTGTGGACTCAGCCTTGATCCCGAGTGTACTGGGTGCAAGCTGGGCTCTCCCCATCACCATATCTGGTTCAGGTCCTGCTCTGACTTAACGGAAGTTCACAGAGCCCACGTTGAGTGCTGGTTCAGTGCCCCGAGAGCCCCAGTTTGGTGTTGGTTCAGTGCCCCGAGAGCCCCTCTTTGGTGCTGGTTCATTGCATAGAGAACCCCAACTCGCCGCTGTGTTGTTCCCCTTCCGCAGCTCAGCAATCTGCGCTGTTGTGAAATAATGCCTGTTTAACCTGACACGTCTTTTTTTATTTTTTTTTTTTTTAAACCTCTTAACCTTTAATTCTATCGCCGTGTTCCTCTTCCCGAAGTAACAAATCGTCCTATAGGCAAACAGTTGCGCCTGCATACAAAGGGGAGCTGCCCTTTGGGAGTGCTGCTCTGTTTACAGTCACTCCTGCAGAATCATTGATCACAGATGCTTCCACGTGCTCTTGTGCTGTGGGGAGCTAAGGGTGCAGTTTGAACTCCGTTTCTCTAAAGTCCCTGTTAGAAGAGAATGCAGCTAAATCCAGCCAGTACTCCAGAGAAGACGTTTGAAGCTGAGTTTTAGTGTAAATATAATGCCAGGTGTCATTGATTCATGGATTTTAGTAAGATGTGGGGCATGAACAAGATGGTTCTGGACGTTGTGTTAATCTCTGCTCTGATAGGCAGGCGGTGTTTCTTGCATGATCCGTGATGGATCGTTGTTTTCAAAGCTTTAAATGTAGCGTAGATAAATCTTGGTGGGAACAAGGGCACAAATGGAAGCGTGTTCACTTTTTCTTGGAGCCGTTACTGTATGTGTGCTGAAGTTTGCAGTGCCTCTCACATTTGATTTATTCTGTTCTCAGAGCTTGCAGAATCGAAACGTTCTGTAAATCAAGCTTTGATAAGGGAATGTTGATAAGGTGTTTGAGCTCAGAAAGCCCCTGTTACTGTTTTATGCTTTGGGCTAATACAGTTGTGTCAAATACTATGTGATACTGTACAGCTAGCTACTTCAGTTGCTCAGTTACATAACCCTGCAAGGTTACATGTTAGCCAATAAAAGGTGATATAAATGTCTCAAAGTGGATTCTATAGTAGCTATTTCTTCCTCAGACTGCTGCTGTTCTACATGAAGTCAGCGTTGGTGAGCAGTCTGGGGTTACAGTGCCTGAAATTCGGTGGGTGTTGTGTTTGTGTGTGTTGGTGGGAAATCCGTTTGTGGTGCCTGAAACTTGTTTTTCCTTGTCGTAGGGCTAGAGCTGAGCTCTCACATCTGCCTTGCAGGTATTTCCACTTTGTTTTTAACCCATTATGTTAACGGTTGCTCAGGGCAGCGCACATGCTGTGGCCTTTGACACTTTGCTGATCTTATCATTACCATCTTCTATTGTATTACATAAAAGTGCCTACTAGAAATTGGTGAGATCCAGCCATTTTATGTGGGTTTTCTTCAGGCCATCAGCCCGTAGTGGTGTAACTTGTGACAGCATGGGGAGCTGGGTGCCTTGGTGGGTGCTGTTGCTCGTTCCTATTGTCTGTAACCCAGCTCAGCTGTTCACACGGGCTGTGCAGGGAGGTCGGTGTGAAGGGGGATTTCTCAGCCAGGCACAGAGGCAGCGTTTAGAGGTTGTGCACAAAACTCATCTTTGGTGGCTTAGTGCTACCCACACCAGTTCACTTAGTCTGAGGATTTAGTGCTGCTTTTGAGAGCTTTATCAGCACGGATTTATGACAGTCATAAAGCACTGCCTGCAACGTTGGGTATTTCTTACAGTTTTTCTAACTTTCTCTTTCACTTTAAAACTTATTTGAATTGTGATTTCCCCCTAGTTTACTGTAGGTTTTAACATTGAAGGGAATTACAGTGTGAGTGTCTATGTGAAGCATTCTCTTGTATGAGGAATAGAAATAAGAGAGCTCTCTTCTCAAGCTAGTTAGTTGGTGTGATACTCACAATAACATCACTTCAAAGACCTGCATTTGAAAAAGTTCTGGTATTGGAATTTGGTAAATGGGTCAGGATACACACGTTTACTCATCCCCTGCTGAATAGCATACAAATGGAACAGGGATGTGCTGTAGGTTAGCAGCAGTGGGACAAGCTGGTTGCACTGTAGCGTGCGGTGCTGTGCGACCAGCGTGTAGAAACTCTGCTGAACGTACAGCTTAGCATGGATTTTTGCAGACTTGAATCACTTAACCACTTATGTAGCTGACAGCAGGGTGTAAATGTAACAAAGAAGTAGCTGGGGGGTTTTTGCCAGCTTCCTGGGTTTGTATAATAGCTGCTTTTCAAGGCTCTGAATTTTTAGATGCAAACCTCTGAAGCCTGGGTGGACGGACTGGTGTTCGTCTTGGAGGAGCTGCAGCCCACAGACATCAGGCATGCAGGATGGATGTGATGAGTGTGAGCTGTCCTCACTGAAATGTGGGCTACCTTCTCAGCTGATGACTGGCAAATCCTCTTAACTTGGACCAAGTTTAAGCATGTGAGAGGAACTATGAATATAAAATTAAAAATTAAAAACAACAACAACAACAAAGCAACCACCTGACGGTTTGTAAACCTGATGGGAAGTTTCTTAGCATCAATCTCCTGGGGTGTAGGTGCTGTGGCTGAGTTCAGTGTGTGACTATTTTGTCTGTCCTTGCAGCAAAATTTGTGCATTATATATCAAAGGATTGAATCAGTGATGCGTTTTTAAATGTTCATTCAAATGGTGATAAATGCAGGCCAGAAGGCTGGCGTTGAGTGCTTCTTCCCATTTTATTCCTTCCGTGGAGTGCTCTTTCCTCCACACCAT